TTCCTAGAGAGCCGGGACTGGGAGGTGGGGTGAGCGACCGGAAATCGCGGTATCCGCGGGTCAGCCATTATTTGGGGCCTCAGGTGCCGTGGCGTCTAGTTCCCGTGTCATCTCCCGGCGTCCCGGCGCCGAGGCGGCGGTCCTCAAGGCCGGAGCCGCTGCGGGAGCCCCCGGTGAGCGGGGTGGGCTCGGGTCAGGTTGGCACGCGGGGAGGGCGGCCCGGGGTGCGGCTTGAGTTCGCCAGGGCAGCGCAGCCTTCGCCGACCCCTCTCCGGCCCTTACCCCCAGGGCGGTCCCTCCGCTCCGTGTTGAGGTGGACGCCTTGGCTGCGGCTTGGGGAGGGTATTGAAGACAGAGCCCCTGAGTCTGTGTGTCTGTGGACCGGCCCTCGAGTTAGTAGAATGCGCTGCCTCTTTGAGAACACCGCCGTCAGTAGTCAGGTTCCCCAGCTCAGGCTTTTCTGCTCTTTTCCCATCTTCTCTGAGACTGATGCTGAGAAACAGCTTGAGACTTCCCTGGAGCAGGGGCTCCCAGACTAATGGGGGCTTTTTTTTTTTTCCCCTTGAGGTATGGACCGGTTCTCATCTTTTAATTTTGTAATATAATGGTATTTAAAAAGCAAACTTAGGCAAGCCGTACCACCATTGCTTTAGAGAATGTATTTTCACATTAAGCACTAAGATGGTAAACTCAGCGTAAACGCCGTCTTTTGCAAGAAAGGTCATTGCCAACCTGCGAGTGACTACGTATGGTTGTTTATTTTCGTTTTACCGCTTGCCAGATTAAAGTTTTATAATGAATTGTTGTCATTATTCTAAACCATTGCTTTAGAATAGTTGTTTGGGTTTCAGAAGTCTTTTCTTAGATGTAGTTATTTTGGACTTTTGGAGTTAGAATCCCTGAGTTCAGAATTTGCTCCCATAACTGAGTGGCCTTGAGTGAATCACTTAATTCCTTTGAGGCTTCTTTTGTTCTTTTTAACGTGTGGCTCACAAACCTTTTGTGAGAAGCAAACGAAATGTATGTTTAAGGATTTGTTACTTGTATCTATTTGCAAAGTAAGAGTAAATAGAATTCTGATAATTTACTGTAGAAAATTATTTAGAAATCCTTCTCGCCCCGCCCCGGGTTTTATTTACTTACAGACTTTATTTTTTAGAGCAGTTTTACGTTCACAGGAAAATTAAGCAGAAAATACAGAAATTTCCCATATACTCCCTGCCCCCTCTCTTGCATAGCGTCCCCCCATATCAACATCCCCCACCACTGGAGGGATGGAGTGGGAGTTTGGGATTAGCAGATGCAAGCTAGTATTTATAGAATGGATAAACAGCAAGGTCCTCCTGTGTGGCACAGGGAACTATATTCAATATCATGTGCTAAACCATAATGGGAAAGAATATAAAAAGAGTATATTTATGTATAACTGAATCACTTTGCTGTACAGCACAAATTAATACAACATTGTGTAATAACTATACTTCAATCCCCCCCAAAAAATATCCCCCACCAGAGTGGTACCTTTTGTTGCAGTTGGTGAACCTGTATCAGACACATTTTAATCACCCAAAGTCCATAGGTTACATAAAGGCTCACTCTGTGTTTATATATTCTATGGGTTTGGACAGATTTATAATGATTTGTATAATGTATCCACCATTTTAGTATATAGCATGGTTTCACTGCCCTAAAAATCCTCTGTGTTCTGCCTGCTCATCCCTTCCTTCTCCAACCCTTGGCAACCACTGATCATTTTACTGTCTCCATAGTTTTGCCTTTTCCAGAATGTCATATAGTTGGAATTGTACAGTATATTAGATTTTCAAATTAGCGTCTTTCACTGGGTAGTCCATATTTAAGCTTCCTTTGTATCTTTTCATGGCGTAATAGCTTGTTTCTTTTTAGCACTGAGTAATATTCCATTGTCTGGATGTACCACAGTTTATTCATTCACCTATTGAAGGACATCTTGGTTGATTCTAGGTGTTGACAGTTATGAATAAAGCTGCTGTAAACATCCATGTGCAGGTTTTCGTGTGGATGTATGTCTTCAGTTTCTTTGGATGAATACCAAGGAGCACAATTGCTAGAATTTATGGTAGGATTATGTTTAGTTTTGTAAGATACTGCCAAACTGTCTTCCATAGTGGCTGTACCATTTTGCATTCCCACCAGCAATGAATGAGAGTTCCTGTTGCTCCACATCTTCACCAGCATTTGGTGTTGCCAGTGTTCTGGATTTTGGCCATTCTAATAGGTACGTAAGGTATCTCATTGTTTTAACTTTCATTTCCCTGATGACATATGATGTGGAGCATATTTTCGTGCAGTTATTTGAAATATGTATATCTTCTTTGGTGAGGTATTTGTTTAGGTCTTTGAGTCATTTTATCTTAACTTTTTTTTTTTTTCCCTTGTCACACAGCTTGTGATATCTTAGTTCCCTGACCAGGGATTGAACCCAGGCCCCTGGCAGTGCAAGCTCTGAGTCCTAACCACTGGATCACCAGGGAATTCCCCCTTGGGCCATATTTTAATTGAGTTGTTTGTTTTCTTATTGTTAAGTTTTAAGAGTTCTTTGTATAAAATATACAAAGGAAGGATAATAGTATGTGTCTTTTGCAAGTATTTGTCTTCTCATTCTTTTTTTTTTTTTTTTTTTTTTTTTTGCGGTACACGGGCCTCTCAGTGCTGTGGCCTCTCCTGTTGCGGAACACAGGCTCCGGATGCGCAGGCTTAGTGGCCATGGCTCACGGGCCTGGCCGCTCCGCGGCATATGGGATCTTCCTGGACTGGGGCACGAACCCATGTCCCCTGCATCGGCAGGTGGACTCTCAACCACTGTGCCACCAGGGAAGCCCTGTCTTCTCATTCTTGACATTGCCTTTTGCAGAGCAGAATTTTTTAATTTTGATGAAGTCTAGTTTATTAATTATTTCATTCAAGGATCGTGCCTTTTGTGTGTATCTAAAAAGCTATCACCATACCCAAGATCATCTAGGTTTTCTCCTAGGTTATCTTCCAGGAATTTTATAGTGTTGCATATTACATTTAGTTCTTTGATCCATTTTGAGTTAATTTTTGTGAAAGATGTAAAGTCTGTGTCTAGATTCATTTTTTGCATGTGAATGTCCAGTTGTACCGGCACCATTTGCCGAAAAGACTATATTTGCTCCATTTTATTACCTTGACTCTCTCTCAGAGATCAGTTGACTATTCATGTGGGTCTATTTCTGGACTCTCTATTCTGTGCCATTGATTTGTCTACAATTTTGCCAGTACCATGCTGACTTCACGGTAGCTTTTTAGAAAGTTTTGATGTGGGTAGTGTCAGTCCCTCAACTTTGTTCTTCTTCTTCTTCAATATTGTGTTAGTTATTCTGGGTCTTTTGCCTCTCCATGTGAACTTTAGAATCAGTTTGTCAATATCCACAAAATAGCTTACTGAGATTTTGATTGGAGTTGCATTGAATCTATAGATGAAGTTGAGAAGCACTGAAACGTTGACAATATTGAGTCTTCCTATCTGTGAACATGGGATAGAAATCCTTTTTTTAAATTCCTTTCCATCACCCCCAGATCAGTTACCAAAGAACTGCTCAGTTTTTCTCAATTGTTCTATCCCTACTACTACTTAATTTAGAACTTTAATTATTTGTTTAGACTACAGGTTTCCCCTAATGTCTGAAAGTAGGGTTGTTTTTGTTTTGTTTTGTTAATTTAGGTTGCACCAGGTCTTAGTTACGGCAGGCAGGCTCCTTAGTTGCGGCCTGTGGGCTCCTTAGTTGCAGCAAACAGGTTCCTTAGTTGTGGCATGCAAACTCTTAGTAGCAGCACGCATGTGGGATCTAGTTCCCTGACCAGGGATCAAACCTATGCCCCCTGCATTGGGAGCATGGAGTCTTATCCACTGCACCACCAGGGAAGTCCCTGAAAGTAGAGTATTCTTATGAAACCTTTCATAAGCTGAAATGATGTAATGCAAAGAAGCAGTTCCCTTAGGACACGTCTTGCTAACAGATGCACAAAGTAAAAATAGATAAAGCACAGATGCTCACAGACACAGGTTAAATCTACAGTGGCTTGGTGCTGAGATGCTGAGTGTAATTCCTGTGGAAGGAGCTTGACAGTGCCACTCTGGCTACTTGGGATGCCTCTGGCTGCCTCTCAGTAGCCTTTAGAATTGGCTTCTGTTTACCTCTTCACTCTAATTCTACAAAATTACCTCCAAGTTTACTTCCTTCTCTGATTTGCAAAGAATCTTTTTAACAGAGCTATATGTGCTGTCTCTCCCTTGCTTTTGAAATTACAGTTTCTTTATTCCTGGAATGGCTTTCCTAATACTCCAGTGGTCTTTTTTTCTTTACAGCCCAACCCAAAATTACCTTCATGAATTCTTACTCTGCTTATATGTCCTCCTATTAATTGTACTCACACATTATATTGAAATTATGTTTATATTTTGGCCTCCTCTGCTCCATTATAAGCATGAATTTTAAGGGTCCATATGTTAAATAAAATTAATGAGGCACTCTTATATGTTACTGATAGTAATGTAACTATTACAACCTTAAAAGTTTAAACTATTTGTACCTTTCAGCCAAACAGTTTCTTTTCTGGGAAATTTTCCTGAAGAAGTAAGCAGAAATGTAACCAAAAATTCATTAACAAAGATGGTCATTGCAGCTGAATTTGTAATAGGAAAAAAATATAAATCTAAACGTCTAACAACAGAGGACTAAAATATGAATGGGCTGATATATTCTTTTTTTTTTAAATAAATTTATTTATTTTTGGCTGCGTTGGGTCCTCGTTGCTGCACACGGGCTTCCTCTAGCTGCAGCGAGTGGGGACCACTACTCCCCGCAGTGCGCAGGCCTCTCACTGCAGTGGCCTCCCTTTGTTGTGGAGCACGGGCTCTAGGCACGCAGGCTTCAGTGGTTGTGGCACGCGGGCTCAGTAGTTGTGGCACACGGGCTTAGCTGCTCTGCGGCATGTGGGATCTTCCTGGACCAGGGCTCAAACCCATGTCCCCTGCATTGGCAGGCGGATTCTTAACCACTGCACCACCAGGGAAGTCCCATGGGCTGATGTACTCTTGAACATAATGATGAAGAATATTTGATATTGTGTTTACAACACAATGTGTGTGAAATTATGGAGCAGTACAGTTGGATCCAGTTTTGTGATCCAAATTGCCCGTTGGAGAAAGGACTGGAAGAATGTAGTCCAGAACAACAGCAGTGATTGTTCTTTGGTTTTGTATGTGTTTTCTGGTTTTACAGATTTTCCATTTTGTAATAAGAAAGATACATATTATTTCTAAAAAACGCACCATTTCTAGAAAGCAGAAGCCTAAGAACATAGGAAAGGGTGCTAATTGCAGAAAGATAATGATTAACATTTGAATCCATATACCAGGCACTATTCAAAAGCCTGAAATGTATTTCACATCGATTGCTTACAACAAGCCCATAAGATAGGAATTGTTGCCCCTATTTTACAGGTTACCAAACTGAGACTTAGAAGTGAGGTAACTTGTTCAAGGTCACACAGGAGTAGCCAGGATGCCCATCGTTAGAATGGTGGATAAAGGATTTATTGTAATTAGGTGGAAGAGAAACTGTGAATAAAGACCAAAGGAGGGACTTCCCTGGCCGTCCAGTGGTTAAGACTCCGTGCTTCTAATGCAGGGAGTGAGGCTTGGATCCCTGGTCGGGGAACTAAGATCCCACATGCCACGTGGCCAGAAAAAAAAAGACCAAAGGAATTTCATGTTTTTGATATCAGCAATGGTCTGGGTAACATGCGTATTAGTGTCCCTAGAGCCTTGGGCCTGGGCTTCTCTGTTAGAGGAGGCATGGCCCAGAATCTAGAACTTTGCATTCAGGGAGGTTTCTTCATTAGTGAGAGCTAACTGGGGTCTGGAAAACCTGATTGTTTCTCTGGGTTAACTTTAACAATGATTTCTTGAGGTCTTATAGATGATGTTCTCCAAGCTCTAAGGAAGAAGGCAAGCAAGGATTGAGGGGCCCTAGAGAGGAGCCTTTCTTAAATAACAACAATGACAAGAGAAAATTGGGCCCACAGTGCTCTGAGACAAGAGGGCCTTGTTAAAGGGAAGGATGATACCTGGAAGTGGGGAACCAGCTTCCAAGGGAGCAGCTCCTCTGTTTGGGAGACCTCCCACCTGCACTTTAGACAGTTACGTTACCATGAGACATCTGGACCCCAGGAGGCACTGAGCCGGCTCCGGGAGCTCTGTCGCCGGTGGCTGAGGCCAGAAGCACGCACCAAGGCACAGATCCTTGAGCTGCTGGTGTTGGAGCAGTTCCTGAGCATCCTGCCCGGAGAGATACGGACCTGGGTGCAGATCCATCGCCCCGGGAGTGGTGAGGAGGCAGTGGCCCTGGTAGAGGAGCTGCAGAAAGACCTCGATGGACCAGCACTAAAAGTGAGAAAGGGGAAGGGGGAAGAGTTTGAGGTGGAAGGAGGGAGTAGGCCCAGGGCAGAGGGGATAGAGGATGATGCTGTGATTTTCATTAACAATAACACAATAGCAACCCTAATGCTAATTAAAACAGGTTCATGAGCTGTTCAGACCACAGAATGTATTTTGAGAGAAATGGATTTATGATTGGGGTCTTCGGGCCAATTCAGAATCAACACAAGGCATTGACTCTGCTTTGCCTCCTTGGGTGATGCTTGCTAATGCTGAGTTTGGTTCAAGAATCTGAAGAACGTAATGTTTTTAAGTGTTCCTCTAAACAGAAACATATGTATTGTTTGTATAAGTATGTTTGGAGTGATGTTGTAAGCCTGAAGTATAAAAGGCAGTGGGAAAGCATGAATGAAGCTTTCTAGATCTGGCAAGACCTCCCCATGTTTTCCCCTACTGGGGATTCTGTGAGCCAAGGGATGGGGTTGAAATATTTGCCTCTGATAAGATTTTATATCCTTGGCTATTAAATTGGGATCTTGATATAGTTTCTAGTATGTGTCAGATCTCTTTCTGTCAATCTGGAGCCCACTAGAAACATTTCTATATAAGAAGTCTGGAATATAACTTGGGAGTGATACCAAGGATGGGCTTATTTGTTTAAATCATAAAAATGAAGAATTTAGAGCTACATATTTCAGTACTAATCACTAATCCATCTTTCTCATTTGAGAGAGAAGAAAATGGAGGCAGGAAAAGGTTCACTATATTGTCTTAGGTGAGACATCTAGTTAGCAACAAAAGCAAATGTCTAGACTTCTAGTGTTCCTTCTATTGGAGCAGGAAGGGATAAGTAAAGGGGTAAATAAGTAGAAGAGTGTATTGAACCCAGGTGTAATCTAAAACGAGGTCTGAAGCTCTTAATTGCTTGTTACTTCCCATTCCCTCCTTAACCCACACCCAGGTCTGGCTTCTGTTTCCACCGTTGTGTTCAGTCTCCTCTGGGAGAGGTCACCAGTACCATGAGTGGGGCTAGAGGGCAGCTCCATTGTTCTCAAGGCAAAGCTTTACTGCTGTTTTGATGCTCCATATTTGAGGTGGGTCACTCTCATCTCACAGTTCTAGATTACGGGCAGAAAGAGGTCCATGTTAGGTGAGTCCATTTTCTGGAGGTACAAGAAGAGTCAGCTTATTTTGTTCTGCTTGTTCCCAGGTTCCAGTCCTTGTCCAGGATCAGGACACTCTCCAGGAGGGTCTGAGCACTCCAGGAATAGCACTTCCTCATGCACCCACTGGCAGCCACATATCAGCTGAAATTCGCTCAAATCCTCTTACTGACCCAGTGGTGTTCAACTTGCTCCAAGATCCTCAACATGGTAACTTACTGGCTATGACTTTGGACTTTTCTCAGGACTCTTACTGTGACTCATCTCCCTACTCCCAGATAGTTGCTTCCTCTCCTGCCCTTATATGAACCCCTTATGGTACCAAGCTCTTTCCTGTTCTCCCTCTTGTCCTTTCCTGGGTCCCTCTGACCCTTTATCCATTCTTTTTTTTTTTTAATTAATTTATTTCATTTACTTATTTTTGGCTGCATTGGGTCTTTGTTGCTGTGCGCGGGCTTTCTCTAGTTGTGGCGAGCAGGGGCTATTCTTCGTTACGGCGCGTGGCCTTCTCATTCTGGTGGCTTCTCTTGTTGTGGAGCAGGGCTCTAGGCACATGGGCTTCAGTAGTAGCAGCACATGGACTCAGTAGTTATGGCTCACAGACTCTAGAGCGCAGGCTCAGTAGTTGTGGCACACGAGCTTAGTTGCTCTGTGGCATGTGTGATCTTCCGGGACCAGGGCGCAAACCCATGTCCCCTGCATTGGCAGGCAGATTCTTAACCACTGCACCACCAGGGAAGCCCTTTCTTTTTTTTTAATTAAAAAAATTTTTTTAAATTTGGTGATGCTGGGTCTTATTTGCGGCTCGTGGGTTCCTTAGTTGTGGCTCGTGGGGCTCCTTAGTTGAGACTCCCCAGCTCCTTAGTTGTGGCATGTGAACTCTTAATTGCGGCATGCATGTGGGATCTAGTTCCCTGACCAGGGATCGAACCCGGGCCCCCTGCATTGGGAACACAGAGTCTTATCCACTGTGTCACCAGGGAAGTCCCCCTTTATCCATTCTTATTGCTATTCTTTGTGCTATTCCAGCCCTGCACGTGGGGGTCAGAAAAGATTTGTAGGTCATTTTATAGCCATCGTTGCCTAGTTCTGGGAGCTCTGTGTCTTTTTGAATTCCTTGTTTATAGAAGATAAAGATATTGGACTTGGAGTAGTGGGCAGGAACAACAGTTATCTCATATGCAGCTTTTTCTCCTTCAGATTCTCCTGCCCCTGAAGCTTCTGCCCTTTCCCAGGAAGAGAACCCAAGAAATCAATTAATGGCTCTCATGCTCCTGACAGCCCAGCCCCAGGTAAGATTTGCATCCTCTTTTCTTCCTAAGATCCTATCTGCACTATCTCATTGTGGCTGAAGTATCCTAATTGTGGTTGGAGTATCTCTCATCCTTGTGCTTGGGTGTCCAGTCAGCTCCCATCTCTAAATCAAGGTCGATGCTATTGGAAGGCAGACTTCATGTGGGGTCTCCTATGTCTCCCTGATATCCCTTGCCCACCTCATGCCCTCACAACCTGTCTTCCCCATAAGTGAAAGGGACCTTTCAGTAGGGGAGCTTCCTGGGCATGGATAATCTCACACATACCTGTTATTTCAGGAATTGGTGATGTTTGAGGAGGTATCAGTATGCTTCACTTCAGAGGAATGGGCATGTCTGGGCCCAATTCAGAGGGCTTTGTACTGGGATGTGATGCTGGAGAATTATGGAAATGTGACTTCCTTAGGTAAGGACACTTTCTTTCCATAATTCTTACCTTTACTTCATCAGCTTTTTTTTTTTTTAACGTTTTTATTGGAGTATAATTGCTTTACAATGGTGTGTTAGTTTCTGCTTTATAACAAAGTGAATCAGTTATACATATACATATGTTCCCATATCTCTTCCCTCTTGTGTCTCCCTCCCCCACAACTTCATCAGCTTTTGTTTGTTTTTCTTTTCTTTTTTTCTTCCCCCTACAGTGGAAGTGCAGATTCTTAACCACTGGACCACCAGGAAAGTCCCAGCTTTTGTTTGTTTTTCTGATTATGAACATAGTATAGCATACTTATTTTGGAAAACACAGAATATTAGGAGAAAAAAAAATTTTTTTAACCCACTATTTGCAAACAGCTACTATCAAAATTTTGATATGTTACCTTTCTGGCTTTTTTTGTGTGTTTGAGGTTTTTTACATTGTTTTGAGAGTGTGTATTTATGAATATATACAGTTTTATAGCTTGCGTTCTTTGCAGTCACCTCACTCTCATATTATCACAAATCTTTGCAACAATTATCTGTATTGGCTGCGTAATTTGTGTCATAATTTAGTTAGCCATTTCTTTATTTTAAATAATTGCCATAATAATAATCTATCTCTATGCCTACGGTTTTTTTGTGTGTGTGTGTGTGGTACGCGGGCCTCTCACTGTTGTGGCCTCTCCCGTCGCAGAGCACAGGCTCCGGACGCGCAGGCTCAGCGGCCATGGCTCACAGGCCCAGCCGCTCCGCGGCATGTGGGATCCTCCCAGACCGGGGCATGAACGCGTATCCCCTGCATCGGCAGGTGGACTCTCAACCGCTGCGCCACCAGGGAGGCCCCTGTTTTTGTTTTTTTAATTTCTCATTATTTTTTAAAAGTAGAATTACTAGGCCTAAGTGTTTGAATTGTTTTAAGGCTCTTGCTTCATACTGCCAAAGTGCTTTCCATAGTGATCTCAGTCCTCTCTGCTCTTACCAGCTGTACGTAAGAACCACTCCTTTGGCTCTGCCTTCATTGCTGCTGAGTAGTCCCATTCTTTTAAATTATTAATATAATTTTTTAAGTTATAATATCTTTATTCTCAAGTGGATTTCTTTGATTAATAACAAGAGTATTTTTTTAAAAACTGTTTGCCATTTATGTTTTCAACAAACATTAAACACCTACCACGTAATGGCAACTATGGAAATGACGTGATTCTGCCCTTTAAGTAGCATGATTTGGGAGATGAACATAAAAAGAATAAACAAGGCAGAGTAAAATAATTGGTAATAGAGTGACGTAAGCCTCTTGAGATGGAAATGAAGAAGACAAAACAATCAGTACCAGTTCCTGGGAATTAGGAAAGGCCATGAAGGACGTAGCTTTGTATTTCATTGTCTGAGTATCATGCTTTACATTGACAGCTTTATGATACTGAATTCCTATTCAAGAACATTACATATAGTTCCATTTGTTCATACTGCCTTTGTCTGTTTCAGGCCTGTTTTAAAATTGCATTCAGGTGGATCTTACATATTCTGGTTACATTGATTCTTTGAAATAGGAAACTTTTCTGATGTTTTCTAATTGATCATTGTTTGCATACATAAAAATATTTAATTTTTGTATGTTAATTTTGTACCCAGCAACCTTAGTAAGTTTTTTATTGTTCATAGTAATTTATACTATATATTTTTACATATATGAGAATATGTCTTTTAGTATCTCAGCTATGGTGTGGTGGTCAAACATTTTGTAGATTTTATATTTTGATACATATTCCCAAACTGCTTTCTATCAATGATGTACCAATTTACACTTCTACAAAAAGAGTACAAGAGGGCCCATTTCCCCTGTATGTGCTTATGATTTGGTCACTGTTTTGGGGGGTTTTTTTTGTTTTTGTTTTGTTTTGTTTTGGCTGCGTTGGATCTTTGTTGCTGCACACGGGCTTTCTCTAGTTGCGGCGAGCAGAGGCTACTCTTCATTGAGGTGCGCGGGCCTCTCATTGCAGTGGCCTCTCCCGTTGCAGAGCATGGACTCTAGGCACACGGGCTTCAGTAGCTGTGGCTCACGGGCTCCAGAGCGCAGGCTCAGTTATAGCGCATGGGCCCAGTTGCTCTGCGGCTTGTGGGATCTTCCGAGACCAGGGCTTGAACCTGTGTGCCCTGTATTGGCAGGCGGACTCTTAACCACTGCGCCACCAGGGAAGCCCTGGTCACTGTTTTAAAACTTTGCTAGCTAGGTGAAGGATACTATCTTTTGTTTATTTTTCTTTCATTTCTTTGATTATTAGTGTTACCATGTTTATTGGTCATTTTCTGCTTATTCATATCTTTTCTACATATTTCTTTTATTTATTAGAACTACTAACCCTTTGTCACATGTTGCACATTTTCCCATTTGTTTGCCTTTCAGTGGTATTATTATTATCATTATTTTTTAAGTCTTAGAAAATCTTTCATGTAGTCAAACAGCAATATTTTCCTTTGTGGTCTCCTTCTCCATAAAATTATTAGTTTTTAAATCACCTGTATTTTCTTCAGACATTTTCATTGTTTCGTTTTTACATTTAAGCTTTAGTCCATCTAAAGTTTATCTTGATAATACAGAATGACATAGGAATCCAGTTTGTATGTTTGCTTTTTTTTTTTTTAACCCAAGTGGCTTTCAGTAGTTCTAATGCTATTTACTCAATAATTCATCTTTTCTTTGAAGAATTTTAAAACATGCTTTATGGGTTAATTGATTAATTTTATGAAAAACACTCACCATGGATTCATACCTCACACTGTAAGCCAAAATAAATTCCAGATGGGTCTAGGAGTTAAATTTGGAGTTAAATTTAAAAACTAAGAAGAAAATGTAATTCCTTACTTATTCCAACTCTTTAAGGGAAGAGAAGTTTGAATCAACTTTAATAAGTAAGATATGCTCTAACTGCAATGCTGTTAGGGCTTTGGGCAAGCAGATACCAAGGTGTTTATGCTCTTTGACCTAGTAATTCTGACTTGAGGAGGCTACCTTAAGGAAATGGTTCAGAAAGAGGGAAAATAAGTAATGTGTCTAAAGAATCTCATCCCCACGAAGGATTTATAATGTTTAAAAGTTGGGCACGACCAAATTCCCCCAGACAAAGTACTACACAGCCCATGGTGTTTTGACCTGGGGGTAGACTGTAACACTATCATATTTGACAGTTTTGTGCACTCAGTTTCTGTGCATTGATAAGCTGGTAGAAAAGCAGACTCCCAGATAGCTTGCACATACTTCTTCAATATGTAAAAGACTTGTATATGCTCATTTAAGAGATTGGAATAGGATTTGAAGGTTATTATTCAAGAAATATTAAGTATCTCCCACATCAAACTTAGCCCCTGCCATAAAGTACATTCAAGTTGTAGTAAAAGACATTTACACAAATAATTACAATACAGTGTGACAAATGTTATATAATAAAAGTATGCATGAGTGCGGGAGCACGTAGGAGCTTGGTTAGATGGAAGAACTGGGAGGGTGGGGGGAGGGGTGGATGGTTTAGGGAAGGATTTACAGAGGGTGAAAAAATGAAATCTCATTGCTGTTTCAATTTGGTTTCATGAGCACCCTCATTACTAGTCAGGTTGAGTATCTTTTCATATGTTATGAACTACCTAGTACTGTTCTTTGCCCATTTAACTTTTGGAATATTGGTCTCTTTTTTTTTGGCTGCACCGTGTGGCTTGCAGGATCTTAGTTCCCAACCAGGGATTGAACCTGGGCCCTGGCAGTGAAAGCGCCAAGTCCTAACTGGACAACCAGGGAATTCCTGGATGCTATTATTTCTTAATTTCCTGTTTTTTGATTGTTCAGTGCTAATGTACAGAAATACCACTGATTTTTGTATATTGATATTTATCCTACAACCTTGCTGAACTTACTTAGTTCTGATAGTTTTTTGGTAGATTCTTTAGGATTTTCTATGTACAAATTTTGCAAATAGAGATAGTTTTATGTCTTCCTTTCCAATCTGGGTGCCTTTTATTTCTTTCTTTTGCCCCATTGACCTGGCTAGAACCTCCAGTACTGTTGTGTAGAAGTGGCAGGAGCAGACATCCTTTTCTTGTTCCTGCTCCTAGAGGGAAAGCATTCAATCATTCACCATTAAGTATGATGTTAGCTTTAAATTTTTTGTAGGTGTCCTGTATCAGGTTGAGGAAGTTCCCTTCTATTCCTACTTTGTTGAGTGTTCTTATCATGAAGGAGTTTTGGACTTTGCCAAACACTTTTTCTGTATCTGTGAGATGATTATGTGAGTTTTGTCCCTTATACAGTTGATAAGGTATATTACATTAATTGATTATCTGATGTTATATCAGCATTTGCATTCCTGTGATAAATTCCACTTGGTCATAGTGTATAATTCTTTTTTATATGTTGCTGGATTCAGTTAGCTAATACTTTGTTGGGGATTCTTATGTCTGTATTCATAAGATATGTTTGTGGTTTTCTCTTTTTTTGTCATATCTTTGCCTGGTTTTGGTATCTAGGTAATACTGGTCTCATAGAATGAGTTGGAAAGTGTTCCCACCTTTCCTGTTTATTGGAAGAGTTTGTGAAGAATTGGTATTCTTTTAATGTTTGGTAGAATTCAGCAGTGATACAGTCTGGGCCTGGGGTTTTCTTTGTGGGTAGTTTTTTGGTTACTGATTTAATTTCACTATTCAGATTTTCTATGTCTTGAGTCAATTTTAGTGGTTTGTGTCTTTCTACGATTTTAGCCATTTCATCTTAAGTTGTTCAATTTATTGGCACAGAATCATTCATGGTATTCCTTTATAATCCTTTTTTTATTTCTGTAAGATCAGTGGTAATTCCGGGGGCGGGGGTGACTTTTGTACTTAGTTTTTAAGGCTGTAGGTTTGGGCAGGTAGCAAATTGGGACGAGGAAGAGCAATTTGGGAAGAGAAAAAGGGGCAAGGGCAGTGACAGAGAAGCAAGCAAAAACATGACATGTTTGGGCATCTCTACGTAGTTTTCCATGCCTAGAGTCTCTGGGCATAAAGGGTACTAACAAGAAGTGAAGCCAGAAAAATAGGCAGATATAGGGTGAAGGCAACTCTTGGGCTGTTCTAGTCATTTGTGCTTTATCCTATAAGCAGTGAAGGGTTATTTGTTTTGAGCAGGTGAGTGACATGATCAAATATACTTATTGGAAAGATAATTAGCAATGGAGTGGACATGGATTAGAGGAGTGGGCAGTACTGGAGGTAGGGAACCCTGTCTTTTTCTTGCAGGCTTCACCAAAGATTGCAGAAGGTAACCAGCTTCCTCTCTCATTCTCATATTTTTCTCCCAAGTCCCTTAAAGCTCAATAGGCCCATACATAGTCTGATTTCTATACTAAAATTTCAGATCATTTAACCAGCTAATTAGCTACTGTGTATATAAAAGTTGCTCATTTCTTAACGATTTTCCATCTCAGTTTAACCACTTGCAACACTTCTATTCCTTAAAACACTTCTACTTCCTTAAAGAAAGGGAACCTTCCTTTCCACCAGCATCCTGCTTAAATTGTGAAACCAGTCTTGATACAATCACTGTGGACAAGGAAACTGGAGTACTGGTATTGGATAGGCCTAGGACACGTGCCCATCCCTACTGCCAAGTGAAGCAGTGTAGTGTGATGGGCAGTCCTACCCAAACTACAGAGGGAGGGACAGTTGAGATGAGATATGACGGCCTGATCTAAGAATGTAGTTCACTTTAACATTTATTGGATGTTTTCCATTTTCATACTCATAAACTTAAAGAAGTTCATAATAGAGTAAAATAGTTACACTCCTTTCCCATGTCTTTTCTATTTAGGGAGAAGAATAGTGTTTTTATACTCAAATAGAAGATAATGTTAATATTATTTACATAATTTTACTTATTAGATAATTTGGGGAACTAGTTCATAATTTTTCTCACATTTGGATGGTGAAAATAAGTTTCCAAAACATTTAAAATATATATAATTTCACATTTTAAAATATTTGAGATGTTAGAGTAGAAAAGAGGTTAACTAGTTTAGCCTCATTATTTTATAGATGTTTTCATCGTTTTTAATGTCTATGTTTTTTCATTTTGTTCTGTATTTCTTCTCTTTTATATTTAATTAAGTGAGGGAGTCTAACCAAACCTGATATTTTTGTGAAATGAATTTTAAAATTCTGTTTCTCAATTTTGGAAGGAGAATTCTAAGCATTAAGTTGCTTTTTCATGGATTTTTTTTCCCTGTAGGTTAATTGCTTTCAAGTAATTAAAAAGTGCTTATACTCTTGACTTCACAAATTAAAGATTGTCTTCCAAGTTTTTAGGTATATTTTCTTTCTTTTAGAGTTCCCATCTTCCTAGCAAGAAGAAAATAAAAAGACAGCTCTTTATAAGCCAAATGGTTCTTTTTGTCCCATCCAACTTCTTGAGCCTCAGGTGTGAACCACCTACGAAAGATCCCATGTTCTTTCTCTGATTCTTCCTTGCATCTGTTTTTTCAGAATCCTTTCTATGTTTACATCTGCTCCCTGAAGGCAAAGAGCTTAGAAGTATCTCAGAATGAATTTTATGTTAATCCATTTACAACATTCTGTCATTAGCATTCAGCTTTATACCCTCATTTAACAAAAATCTTTTCCTTTTTGTATGCATATGAAAGTTTCCTTCTAGCTTGTTTTAAAGTCATTTGAAGATCTTGTTCTCACTAACACAGGGATATGATAATATTTGCATTTTTAATTCCTTTTACCAGAGTGGGAGACCATGACTGAGAATGAGGAGGTGACATCAAAGTCAAGCCTATCTCAAAGAGCAGATTCTCAGAAAGGAGCATCAAAAAGACTTCAAGGAAATGTTCCCCAGGTTCTTGACTTTGAGGAAGAGTATGAATGGCAAGTTTTAGCAAGTCAGTGGGGAAATGAAACAAGGGAAAGAGATACACTGAAGAAAGTTTCCCTGTGTGAACGAGAAAAGAGGAAAAGGACTCCACCAGAAAAGCGAGGCCAAAAGTGGAAGGAATTTGGAGAAAGCTTAACTTCAGATTCAGCTTTCTCTGAAAGTTTAATAGGCACTGAAGGAAAGAAGCTTTATAAATGTGATATATGTTGTAAACATTTCAATAAAATCTCTCATCTTATAAACCATCGGAGGATCCACACTGGGGAGAAACCTCATAAATGTAAGGAGTGTGGAAAAGGCTTTATTCAGCGCTCAAGCCTTCTAATGCATTTACGGAACCATTCTGGGGAGAAACCTTATAAATGTAATGAATGTGGGAAAGCCTTCTCTCAAAGTGCTTACCTTCTAAACCATCAGAGAATCCACACTGGGGAGAAACCTTATAAATGTAAGGAGTGTGGAAAGGGCTTCTATAGGCACTCAGGCCTTATTATACATCTAAGGCGCCATTCTGGAGAGAGACCTTATAAATGTAATGAGTGTGGCAAAGTTTTCTCTCAAAATGCTTACCTCATTGATCACCAGAGGCTCCACAAAGGAGAAGAACCTTATAAATGTAACAAGTGTCAGAAAGCTTTCATTCTGAAGAAGAGCCTCATTCTGCACCAGAGAATCCACTCGGGGGAAAAACCCTATAAATGTGATGAATGTGGAAAAACCTTTGCCCAGACCACTTACCTTGTTGACCATCAGCGGCTCCACAGCACAGAGAACCCATATAAATGTAAAGAATGTGGAAAAGTTTTCATTCGAAGCAAAAGCCTCCTCTTACACCAGAGAGTTCACACAGAGAAGAAGACCTTTGGTTGTAAAAAATGTGGGAAGATTTTCACTTCTAAGTCAAGCCTCATTGACCATAAGAGGATGCATAGCAGAGAGAAGCCTTATAAATGTACTGAATGTGGGAAAGCCTTTACTCAGAGTGCTTACCTTTTTGACCATCAGAGACTCCACAATGGGGAGAAGCCCTATGAATGTAATGAATGTGGGAAAGTTTTCATTCTGAAAAAGAGCCTCATTTTACATCAAAGGTTCCACACAGGAGAGAATCTCTATGAATGTAAAGACTGTGGCAAGGTCTTTGGTTCTAACAGAAACCTCATTGACCACGAGAGACTCCACAATGGGGAAAAGCCCTATGAATGTCGAGAATGTGGAAAAACCTTCATTATGAGCAAGAGTTTCATGGTCCATCAGAAGCTCCATACACAGGAGAAAGCCTACAAATGTGAGGATTGTGGGAAGGCTTTCAGTTACAATTCAAGCCTGCTCGTACATCGGAGAATCCACACCGGGGAAAAGCCCTTTGAATGCAGTGAGTGTGGTAGAGCTTTCAGCTCTAACAGAAACCTCATTGAACATAAGAGAATCCACAGTGGTGAGAAACCCTATGAGTGTAATGAGTGTGGCAAATGCTTCATTCTGAAGAAAAGCCTCATTGGCCATCAGAGGATTCACACAAGGGAAAAGTCTTATAAATGTAATGACTGTGGGAAAGTCTTCAGTTACCGCTCAAACCTTATAGCCCATCAGAGAATCCACACTGGTGAGAAGCCCTATGCATGTAATGAGTGTGGGAAGGGCTTTACTTACAACAGAAATCTTATTGAACATCAAAGAATTCACAGTGGGGAAAAAACCTATGAATGCCATATATGTAGAAAAGTCCTTACCTCTAGTAGAAATCTTATGGTACATCAAAGAATCCATACTGGAGAGAAACCTTATAAATGTAATGAGTGTGGAAAAGACTTCAGTCAGAATAAAAACCTTGTTGTACATCAGAGAATGCACACTGGGGAAAAACCATATGAGTGTGAGAAGTGTAGAAAATCTTTTACTTCTAAGAGGAATTTAGTTGGCCACCAGAGAATCCACACAGGGGAGAAACCATATGGGTGTAATGATTGTAGTAAAGTTTTTAGGCAAAGAAAAAACCTTACTGTACATCAGAAAATTCATACAGATGAAAAAAACTGTGAATGTGATGAGTCTGAAAAAGAATTCTCTCAGACTTCAAAACTTCATCTTCAACAAAAAATCCATTCTGTGGAGGAATTCCCTTGGCTCCAAAATGCCAGTGAGTCCAAGACAGAGATTCAGAAAATCTAGTATCATGTCAAATGGAATAGAATCCCTGCGTACTTAAGTAACTGTTGGATAAATGGCAGCATATGGTTTTTATAAGGAAAAATAGATCATGATCACCCCTTTATAGACAAGTATGTTGCATGAGGAAGAAAGTTAATCTAGACTTTCAAGACTACAAAAACATAAGCCAAATTCTAGTTAAATACTCTGTCCCAAACCATTTGTTATGAACCTAGAAAAGGACCTTGGAGCGATCAAAGATTCTGAAGAAATTGGGTTATGTTTTATAAGATGTAATGGTGTCATTGTAAATGATAGCAAAAATATCTTGGTATTAAAAAGTGTACATTTTTGAAAAGGTATATATACATTGTACATTTTAAAGATAGTATTACTGCTAGAGAAAGTCTCTACAGATGGTATGATTAAGACATATCAAACATGGAGTTGGATGGGCAAGAGTCTGCTGTTTGAGGACAACTTAAGTACACTATATTTGGAATCAGAAAAGCTAGGTTTGGGTCCTGGCTCTTTCTTTTACTTGTTCTGTGATGTTATTAAGTCAGCCTCTAAGTCTCAGTTTCTCTGTCAATCAAATATTGGTATAATGCCTACTTCATAGCATTGTTGTGAGCATTCAGTAAAAGGATCATGTGAAAGTACCTTATGAAACAATTTAGTTGTCAATAAAGTTAGATAAAAGAACATGATCTAGAACAAAATCTAGAACATGGCATAATGTAATGCTTGTTCATTAAGTTAATATTAGGACTTAATGCACCTCAAAAGATTCATTTTTATAGTAAGAGGAAGTATGGTGGATAAGTAACTTTGGAATTTTGTACTTTAAAAAGACCTTTTTAAAACAGCTTTTTAAATGTCTAAGGGAGATAATAGATAATATATTAGTTTTAATGGAAAAAATATTGGCTTATTAAATAGTATGTCCAGCTATTAGTATGATGCCAAGAAAAACAATTTATTTTTCAACTTTTGGATTTTAAAACTAGCGGACGTAGAGTATCAAAATGGAAGTACAGTCCTATGTTGCTTGTCGACAGGAAAAAATCCTTAACCCCAACCCTTGAGCTGATTATCCGTGCTACTGTCATTCTGAATTCTAATCAGCATTTCATCATTATTGACATACAAATAGCTTGTTACTTAAGAAACAACATTCTGTCCCAGCATTCAACTTACTACATAAGTTTTTTTACACAGAGCCAAGCCCTTCAAAGCTCTGATTAAACCAATTCAGAATCCACCTGAGTGGTCAGGCCCATTTACTCCCAGTGAACCAATCATTCATTCAGTCTGTACCCTTTTGTACATTTGTAAATTTATTTCTTCCTATATTCTTTATTTGATAATTTTATGTTGTAATTCTCAGAACTCCAGTTCTGTCACTGGAGTATAAATACCTTAATATTAGGATTGTGTTTTCTAATACTAGCAGCATTGAAGTTGTGTGTTGATTATAATAAGTGTTATTAATTCAACCCCAAAGTTCCTTGAGGGCTGGTTCCTCAGACTGAAGGGACCAAGAGTGAAAACTGGAAGGGGTCCAGGTTAAAAGTCTGAAGACCCTGTGAGTCAGATTCTGCCACTCTTCCTTGGACAAATGCCTTCATTTCTTGGAGCCTCGATTTCCTTATCTGTTAAACAGAAGGAAGAATATCTACCTCACCAAGTTGTTATGAGGTAATGAATATGAAGATGCTTTATGTCCATACAGAAGAATCACCCCGGATTATGTAATAATTACACAGGGAAAGATGTACTTTAACAATGAAGAGAGTTGGCATTTACCTCTTAATCAGTTTAACAAAATGTAACATTGCTAAGACTGAGACAATTCACATAATGTGCCTCTCCGCATGTAATGCAATAAAGCCAAAAGTATAACCTGAATTTATCAAGCTGCTTAGACCTGATTGCCAGTTTACAGGAAATACAGGAGGCAGAGGAACAAGATAAAAGACACCATGAGAAACAAGTTTAAAACATGGGATATTGTGTAAGAAAACTACTGGGAGAATCCCCTGGCGGTCCAGTGGTTAGGACTCCTTGCTTTCACTGCTGAGGGCGCAGGTTTGATCTCTGGTCGGGGAACTAAGATCCCACAAGCCAAGCGGCCCGGCTATAAAAGAAAAACAAAAAGAAAACTGGATTCTTCAAAAAGATACGGTGAAAAAGGGAGGGGTGATAATTGTTGATGCTGGGTGAATATTGAGAGTTCATTGTACTGCTTTTGTATATGTATGAAATTTTCCATAATGAAAGGTATAAAAAGTGGAGGAGAAGGTTGTTTTTAAAAGATACTAAAGAGCCATAAGATACTGAGCCAGGAATAGACGCACAGATGCCCAATGGATTTTCGACAGGTGCAAAAGCAATTCAGTAGAGGAGAGATAGCCTTTCAACAAATGCTGCTGCAGCAATTGGATAGCCATAGGCAAAAAATAAAAATCACAGCAGGAACTAAGACTAAGCAAAGAATTCTTAGACATATCAAAAGCATGCTCCATAAAAGGAAAACAATGATAAGTTGAACCTCGTCAAAATAATTTTCTCTCCAAAAGACTCTTTAAAGAGGATGAAAAAGCATTACAGACTGGGAGAAAATATTTGCAAATCATATATGCAACACAGCACTTGTATCTAGACTAAAGAATTCTCAAAACTCAGCAGTAATAAATAGATCCAATTAGAAAATGGGCAAAAGACATGAACAGATATTTATGGCATATGAAAAGACGTTCAACATCATTAACCATTAGGGAAATGCAAGTTAAAAATCTGCACAGCTATCAGCTTTTTTTAAAAAGTTTTAACACCAAATGCTGGCAAGGATGCAAAGGAACGGAATCTTTTACATTGCCAGGAATGAGAAATGTTACAGCCACTCGGGGGAATAATTTGGCAGTTTCCTATAAAACCAAACATGCACTTGCCATATACCCAGTATTTGCACTCCTGAGCATTTATCCCAGAGAAATAAAAACTTGTGTTCACATAATAACCTGTATGTGACTGTTAAAAGCAGTTTTATTTGTAATAGTCAAGATCTGACTGGTGGTTAAAACAAACTGCAGTATATCTATACCATGTAATACTATTCTGCAATAAAATGGAATGACCTATTGATACCTGCAGTGACTCAAGTGTATTCCAAGAGAATTATGCTGAGTGAAAAAAATCCAATCTGAAATGTATGGCCAGATTTATATAATATTCTAAAATGACAAAAGTATACAGATGAAAGTATACAGATTAGTGGTTGCCAGAAGTTGGGAATAGTGGGAGGGAGCAGGGGAAGAGGGAGGGGTAGCACTTAGGGAGGCCTTGGTGGTGTTGGAACAGTTGTGTATCTTGATTGTGATGGTGGTTACACAAATCTACACATGATAAAATGACAAAGTGTACACACACATTGTACCAATATCAATTTCCTGATTTTTTAAAATATTAAACTATGTAAGATGTACCCATTGGGGTATTATCTTTGCAACTTTCTGTGAATCTGTAAATTCAAAATAAAAAGCAAAACTGAAAAGCCGTACCAAATGCAGTGTGTGAAACTGATTTGGAAAAACAAAATTATGAAATATATATTTTAGGACAGTTGGAAATTTGAAAATGGTTATTAGATGGTTTCACGGAATTATTGTTAATTTTCCTACCTGTAATGATGGTATTGTTAGTTTGGAGATTATTCTTATTACTGAAGGATGCATATCGAAGTATTTGGGATGAAGTGTTTTGATGATTACAACTTAAAAAAATGTCTTCAGTATATAGAGAGGTAAGGCAAACATAGCAAGTGTTAATTGTTGAGTACAGAAGGAGGATACAGGCATTCGTTGTACCATTCTCTGTACTGTTTGATATTTCCAGAACATTTAGGGCAAAATTATCAGGGTCTTCCACAGATGGATGCTTTGTAGTTTCAGGCTGTCGGGTGCGCGTCTCGGTTAAGTGGCCTTACCCGACCTAGGGATGCCCCGCGCTCTGAGGCTCAATTCCCCAATCCACCTGCACTCTTCCTCTAATCGCTTTTGCCCCTATCACTGGTCGGTAGCGATATTGGACACCCAACGAGAAGACAGCACCTCCGAGATTCCTAGAGAGGCTGGCCTGGCGACTTGGGGAGCCGGAAGCCCATCCCCAGGCACTTCCTGTCCGCTCATTGTTCTCGCGCCGGTAGGCGCAGGGGTCGCGGCCGCTTGCCTTCTGCTCCAGAGCCCGCGAGCTCCGGCCGGGCTTCTTCTCCGCGCGTGGTGAGCGGGGTTGGCGTGGCCTGGGCGCGAACGTCGGTGGTGAGGGAGGGGCCATCGCAGGGTCCGCTAGCCTCGTCCTCCCCTCGGGGATCCCAGCCCTGTCTGTCCGGAGGCGGCTCCGCGCCCCGCCACCTCGGAAACTCGGCTCTCGCCTACTTATGGGGGCCTAGCCCGCGGGAGGTTGGACACGGACCACCCAAGGGGCCAGGGTCGACCCCACAACAGGGCTGCGTGGGGCCTGGAGAAGGAGGAGATGCGTTGCCACGTTTGGAGCTAGGGAAAGGACATTGAAAGGAAACCCTTGTTAGGAGACTTTGCTGTCTAGGGCTGGAGGCCGATTAGAGTTTGATCAGCAGTCTGATGACAATACTCAAAGTAGGCAATCTTGCGTATAGATAGGTGAAACGAGTGTTAAGGGCCTTCCTCCCTGGTAGAATTCAGCTAGTCATGGAAAGAATAATTCTCCAGAATTAAGATGTGTTGCAGGACTGAAAATATTGCATTATTGAAGCGATGCAGTGTATACAATAAGTTGCCAGTACGTTAATGTAGGATAAAGTATATGATCACTTCAGTAGCAGCAAAAAGGGACTTAATGAAATGTAGCACGTTTTTCCCTAATAAGACATCTAAAGGGGAATAGGAAAATTTCAGTTTCTTCATAATCAACTAAAATGGTAAGGTTATTTTACTCACAAATCAAAAAAACAATCTGTTGGCTTGGCTATGATACAGGGGTACTGTTAAGTTGGTGGTGGTATGATTTGGTGCAGTCCTTTTAGAAAGCAATTTGGGGAACTTCCCTGGTGGTCCAGTGGTTAAGATTCCTCGCTCCCAATGCAGGGGCCCAGGTTGATCCCTGGTCAGGGAACTAGATCCTGCATGCTGCAACTAAAAGATGTGCATGTTGCAATGAAGACCCGGCGCAGCCAAATAAATAAATATTTTAAAAAATAAAATAGAAAAAAAAAAAAGAAAGCAATTTGGCAGTATATGTCACTCATAAAATCCTTCAATCAGTAATCCCACTATTGTAAAGGAATAACTCAGCAGCAGAAAAAAACTATTTGCATGAAAAGAATCTTAACAATTATTAAGAAAATAAACTGGAAACAAAAGTTCTTTTACTAAAGCAGTGGCTAATAAATAGGGGCTGGGGACTTCCCTGGTGGCGCAGTGGTTAGGGGGCCCGGCTTCGATCCCTGGTCAGGGAATTAGATTCCACATGCATGCCGCAACTAAGAGTTTTCATGACACAACTAAGGAATCAGTGAGCCACAACTAAGACCTGGCACAACCAAATAAACAAATACTTTAAAATAAATAAATAGGGGCTGGTTAAGTAAATTATAATGTAGCTTTAACTTAGAGTACCATGGTAGAAGGAGGTGGTGCTATATGTACTTATATTGAAACATCTACCTAAGACTATTGTGAAACATAGAAATTGAGTTCAAAAAGCAAACAGTTCAGGTTGCAGTCTTTTGTTCGTGCTATTGTCCTTGGTGATTAAAAAAAACCAACCAAGCAAACGAAAAACTTTGGATTGTAATGTCCTTTCTTAAAAAGAAACCATAGTTAAGAAGTTTAAGTCATAATTGTCAGTATGGTTGGAGGTTTTTTCCTTAAAAGAAATATCTTAAATTCTTTAATAAACAGCGATTATCTCTTTGGAGATGAACCAGGGGTAATTTTTCTTAATCATTTTCTGTATTTTTTAAGTTTTTACAATTAAAATATATTAACTTTATAATCAGAGGGAAAATCAATAAATATTATATAAAGGTGTTTGTAATGTGATTATTATGGGGATAAATTGCTTGTATACATTACAGCTCCTTCCATCCTCTTGAGGAGTAGAGCAGACCCTGTAGCGGTAGTGGCTGCTGCCTAGACACTGGTGAAATTGGCTTGTGGGCTTGGTGGCATCCAGGCAAACCTCTGCTCTACTGCTAACAGTGTTTTCTGATTTCTCAGTAGACATTACTCATCCTGGCCCCGGGAAGAAACTCAAGAAGAAGCTTTTGAGACTTAAAGATTAGATGGGGCTTGACTTCTGCTGGGCAGCCCCCAGCTGTAGGAGTTCCCCTGCTGAGCAGAGAGGATGACTACAGAATTGAGAGAGGCCATGACCCTGGCCCCTTGGGGCCCAGTGACAGTGAAAAAGGAAGAGGAAGAGGAGGAAACCTTCGTGGGTCAGGCATCCAGCCAACAAGTGCATTCTGAAAACATCAAAGTCTGGGCTCCTGGGGAGTGTCCTCAGACAGGCCTCGATGTATCAGAACAGGAGGAAAAGGTAAACAATGGTCTGGGAGGAAGGAGGAAGGAGACAGCTAAAGATCTCAAGTGATTTCAGAGGGGACCCTATCCCTCTGCTCCCACATCTGTAGTCTTGTTGTCTGGTGAGGGCTCTGGCCTCTAGTCTTTTGCAATATAATTGAAACATTATATTATTGTATTGATGTGACACTTGGTACTTTCTATAAACCAGTGCTTCTCAAACTGTGCTACAGTTTGCAATTACCTGGGGAGCTTCTTATCAAATCATGATACCCATGCCATACCTCATGTCAGTTAAACCAGTATCTCTGGGGGATGGGACCCAGACCTCTGTATTTAAAAAAAAACTCTTCAGGTGATTCCTGCAGGATTTGATAACTCTAACCTGTACTTCTCAAACTTTAATATGCATAGGAATCACCAGGATGTGGGGGAGGGGATCTTGTTAAAATGCAGATTCTGATTCAGGAGGTCTGGGATGTGGTCTGAGATTCTGCAGGTCTCACAAGCTCCCAGGTGATGGTGATTCTGCTGATCTGCAGACCACGATTTGAGTTTGTGAGGCTGTATGTTTTCAAACACACACCTTTCCATCACTAGCCAAATGAGGCCTGAGGTTCCCCAAAGCCTCTCTGTAATAATATGATTAGAACCTTGCTTCTTTGATCTTTAGACCTTGGGAAAGTGTACTCTGGAGAATCTCCCCATATGCTCTCTTGTCTTGTGCTCTCACTGGCAAGTTAGGTTTGGGCGCTGAAGTGGACAATGAGATGAAATCAAAATGATCAGGAGGAAGGTAACAGGCTTGCTTCTCTGCCCACCCCACCTTGGGAATTAGGGAAGACTCTGGCTTCCTTTTCCTTTCTTTATCTTTAAATGTTTGGTATTTTTCTTTCTTTTTTAAAATTTTTTATTTTACGGTCTCCAAGAACGGGTGCTTATGTTCTCAACCTCAAAGCTATAATTGTACCATCTCCCAGTGACAGTCTCCTCATAAACCCACCTGTGCCTGCTTGTTTCTAGGGTCAGAACGTGTTCTGGGACATGGCTGTCGTCCTGAAACCAACACAGGAGGCGTCTGCTGCATCAACCCCCGGCAGCTCCTCATTACCAGAGACTCTGGCCAAGAGGGAGCTACTGGAGACTCATGGGAGCATGACCTGTCTAGGTGAGGTTCAACCTCAATTCAGAATCTGACCATTGAGGTTTCTCAAAATCTTTTCAGAGACTGGTGGTCTCGTCTCCTAACCTCAGCAACAGAGAGTATTGAGGTGTTGAAAGTGTCAGGGACAGCTGGACAGAGGAATACTGAAAGATGCCTATGCATTTGTCACAGGAAATGGCTTATTTTGCACACAGTCTCAAGACACCAGATAAACACAGGTGAACTCCAAATTTACCTTTTAATCACATTTATTGTTCAGCAAGTTTCATATTCACCTGTGTAGACACGTGTCCTCTTCAGTATGCTTCGTGTTTATTGTAGCTTGGTGAGCCTGCAAGAGAAGCTGGCTAATGTAGGAAGGGTCACCTTTTGTGGTGATATTTTGAGGAAATGCCCTGGAGGTGTTTGTTTTCATAGATCTTTGTGCAGATTCTAGAGGATTTTAAGCACTTGCGTCAGCCATGATGAGGTTTAAAGCTAGGTCTTCATGGAGGCTACTGATGGCTGGCTTATCACCTGGTTCTCTAAGCTGGGACTCAGGATGTATCTGGCTAGCAGTAGCGGAAGCTTGCCTGTGAAGGAGTGACATGTAACTGTGGGTCAACAGTGTGGTAGCCATGAGTCCTGTGTTGTGGAAGCAATCCCTGGATGACTGCCAAGGCCCCTCTGGTACTCATATGCTATGAGTATAGGGCTGTGCCTGAATATCCTGAACCTATTCTCCTCCCTAGCCAATTACTCAGGCATTTGCAAACCAAGTCAGTTTCTTAAACCAGTGTTGTAGGGAAGGCTAGGATTGCCACCTTTCATTTTCTTGTCTCTTCTTTAATTCCCCAAACTCTCAGCAGCTTCTGTTTCCCGCTTTCTGCTTTCTGCTCCATTGTCTCTGGAGCGTTCCCCTCTGTATCACTTCTTTTCTGTTTCCTTGCTTTATCAGTCAGTCATTTATAGTTTTAACTCCAGCAGCTGCCCCCATCCACCAGGAATGGCCACTGTTTTCTTTCTCTGCTATTCCTAGCCAGGACTCATATCTCTGCGAGCCATTTCTGTTGTAACAGGTAATGGCAAGGGACTTCCATGGTGGTCCAGCGGTTAAGACTCTGAGCTCCCAATGCAGGGGGCCCGGGTTCAAACCCTGGTCAGGGAACTAGATCCCACAGGCCACAACTAAGCATCTGCATACTGCAACTAAAGACCCTGCACGCTGCGACGAAGATCCCACATGCCACAACTAAGACCCGGTGCAGCCAAATGAATAAATATTAAAAAAAAAAAAAATAGGTAATAGCGAGCTCACTGAGCTCTAGGAATTGAGAGGGAGTCACGAGTGTAATTGCTGCCCTACCTCTGATAACTCTTTGACCTTGAGCAAATCCTTTCTCTTCTGGACGTCCATTTCCTATTCTATAAAGTGGGGTGCATTGATTCAGTAAATAAAGGATTCGTTGGGGGCCTGCTTCCTGGGTGCCGGCAGTGTGACAGGTGCTAGGGATATAGCAGTGAGTAAGAACAGCCTTGCCCTTTTTTAGCTTCCATACAAGTGAAGGAGAACAGTTTCATCTTGATCATAAAATTGTATAATATACATGAAAGTACTTTGGAAATTTTGAAGTTAATGTTTGTGAGTTTGGTATGTATTCATTAATATTGAATTTATTAAAGTTTATACATTTAAAGCCAAGTTTTTAAGCTTTTAAGCATAACTTATTTTTATGTCCTTTATACATCTAGAAAAATTCAGAATATTTCACAAACAAAAAATGTTTTTACATAAAAACCAGGAAAGGAAGGGTGGAGAGGCAGTAGGGGAAAGAGGTAACAGGGAGAAAGTAAGATAAGAAGGAAGAAAAGAAGATGTAATAGCAGTTTTAAACTGCAGGGAGAAAAGTGGAGTAGATTGAGAAATCAGAGCAGTAGTAATAGAAATAACCAGAAAAAGATTAGGCTTTCAGGGTTTTTTGTTGTTGTCGCATTCAGGGCTTTGCTGTATCCAGTGCTCAGGCATTCCCTTTCTCTGACATTGCCCTTCTTTCTGAATGACTGTGATGGCCTTAGCCTGGCAACCAAACTGGGCTGTCCTCCTTGCCCAGTATTGGTTTGTGCCTCACAACATCCCTGTCCCACCCACTCATCTTACTGGCTGGAGAGTTGCCCTGGCCTGTGCCAGTAGGATGTCTTTGGACATTAGATTCCCCTGTGCAGTTGCTGCATGACCTGCAGCTCACAGCTGAAGTCACACGCTTCCTGACCGTTATGACTTGACTATCCTATTCTTTTTCTAGGCCAAAAAAACCTGACATTTATTTTTCCTGTTTGCTGTTTCAGGTGCTGAAACCAAGAACCCACAGTTATTGGTTCCAAAAACTGAGATATGTGATGAAGCAGAAAAACCTCTCATAATATCAGGAAGAATCCAGAAAGTTGACCCTTCAGGACCTGAATTAGGAGAAGGCTGTGAAAAAGGGAACATGTTAAAAAGGCAGAGAATAAAGACGGAAAAGAAAGATTTCAGACAAGTGACAGTGAAGGACTGTCACATACCTGAAAACTTCAAAGAAGAGGAAGACCAGAAGTGTCACAAATCTGAGGAGAGATATAGCCTTGGTTCTGGCTCTGTTAAAAATCAGAAAAGCCAGGCTGGGCAGAAACCTTTTACATGTAGCGTGTGTGGGAAAGGTTTTAGTCAGAGTGCAAACCTTGTAGTGCATCAGCGAATCCACACTGGAGAGAAACCCTTCGAATGTCATGAGTGTGGGAAGGCCTTCATTCAGAGCGCAAACCTTGTTGTGCATCAGCGAATCCACACTGGACAGAAACCGTATGTTTGTTCAAAGTGTGGGAAAGCCTTCACTCAGAGTTCAAATCTGACTGTACATCAAAAAATTCACTCCTTAGAGAAAACCTTTAAGTGCAGTGAATGCGAGAAAGCCTTCAGTTACAGCTCACAACTTGCCCGGCACCAGAAAGTCCACATTACAGAAAAATGCTATGAATGTAACGAGTGTGGGAAAACATTTACTCGAAGTTCAAACCTCATTGTCCACCAGAGGATCCACACCGGAGAGAAGCCCTTTGCCTGTAATGACTGCGGCAAAGCCTTCACACAGAGCGCAAATCTTATCGTGCATCAGCGAAGCCATACTGGTGAGAAGCCATACGAGTGCAAAGAGTGCGGAAAAGCCTTTAGTTGTTTTTCACACCTTATCGTGCACCAGCGAATCCACACCGCGGAGAAACCTTACGACTGCAGCGAGTGCGGGAAGGCCTTCAGTCAACTCTCTTGCCTTATCGTGCACCAGAGGATTCACAGCGGGGACCTTCCGTATGTGTGTAACGAGTGCGGGAAGGCCTTCACCTGCAGCTCGTACCTGCTGATTCATCAGAGGATCCATAATGGGGAGAAGCCGTACACGTGCAGCGAGTGTGGCAAGGCCTTCCGGCAGAGGTCGAGCCTCACCGTGCACCAGAGAACCCACACCGGGGAGAAGCCCTACGAGTGTGCCAAGTGCGGCGCGGCTTTCATCTCCAACTCACACCTCATGCGCCACCACAGAACCCATCTCGTTGAGAGCACATAGAGGGACGAGGGAGACCTCCAGGCGCCAGTCAGAACCTCTGCCCCTGCCCCCCGCCCCCAAGTCAGACACCTCTTGGCTGTTTTCTCCTCCTTGGTGAAAAGAGGCCTGCTCTGTCCTTAAAAGTAATAGTTTTCAGGAGTGCAGTGCGAAACACAAGAGGGGCATTTCAGAGGCTAATTTAAAGAAAATGAAAATGAAGGCCTCAAGGCAAGGATTTTGTTTTTCACTTGGTGCCCCAAGTGGTCATGGTGTCTGAAGTGGAATGTGGCTTTCTTAGAAATGGATCATACAGAGCTCAGTGATAAAGATCCCTTTGGGGGAAAGGCATTTTTCACTTAACTTTGTTTTTGAACACTCTGGTAATTTCTTGGGCAATGGGCAGGTTACTGGTGGAGGTCTGCCTGATGGAATTCCGGAGCTTTGAACCTTGTATTCTAATATTTTGGGTTAAGCAGCGACTCATTAAGGAAACCACTTGGGGTAGCAGTTCACCAACAACTCACCTATGAACATTTATAGGTTTTCCATTCCCTAGGTAATTAAAAAAACAAACAAAAACTGAAACACCCTACTAACCATCTACTGCTCCTAACATGGATGGAAGTAGGAAACATTCGTTTCCCTCATCACCTGTACCTCATGAACGTTGGTGTGGTAAAGCTCTGGGGACCTCTGACGAGAGTCTCTTCTGACCGTTTCCCAGCCTGCATGGCCAAGCAATTGAGGACTGATGGAGACAGCCACAGACGCTGCTGGGCTGTGTCCCTTTGCTAAGGTCAACAGCTCTTCCCATAACTTAACCCCAGTTGCCATTGCATTCCGTTTGAGTGAGACGCTGCTAGCAGCCCCCTTCCCAGATAGAGGCATCAGAGAATAAAGCTTCCCTGGAGGTATGCCCGCTTTGTCTCTGCTCTCATTCTGCTCAGGCCCAAGCAGGGGGCTCAGTTGGGTGTCATTGTCACTTTCTGGATGGTCTTTAGAAGAAATAATGGAGCCCTTCTAATTCTGAGAGGAGCCAAGAGGGAAATGAAAAGAGAGGGAGGAAGCAGAGTGGGATTCCTAAGGTCTTCATTTGTTTTTTTTAGAAGTTCAAAGGTATTGGAATATGCAAACTTTTAGAAGGATGAAGAAACTGGCTAAGGTAAGATACCTTTGTTACCATTGAGCCTTTACTCCCGAAAAACAATTTCTACAACTATGCAATAGGTAGAGTTATGGAATAATATTGCCTTGTATTTATATAGAACTTGATTCTTTGTCTGTGTACCTTCATGTGTAGAGTCATGATACCCGGCACTTACCTCATACTTTCAGATAGATCATTACCTTAATCCTTGTAACACTGAAAGAGGTGTTTGCCCCCTTTACCTGAGAGAGGTCATTTAACACAAGACCAAGTAACAAGTGACAGCCTGTATTCAGGCCCAGGTCCTAAATCCAGGTTTCCTCTGTTCTTCTGTGTTTATCCCATGTCTCACCACCTGTAACCCCACCCAGATCTGTGGGAAAGCCTGAGAAAAGGGTATATAGAAAAGGTATATATATATAGGTGAGGAAGCTGAGGTGACAGATTTGGGGGTTTGCCTTAGGCAGTGTGCCCAGCAAGCAGCAAATCTAAGGCTGGGGTTTGAGTCTCCTAATTTCTGGGTCTGTTTCCACTCCCGCTCTCAGCAAGCAAGAGTGTTTATCATAAATGCTATACCTGGTGAAAGCAGTTGGGGGCACCTCTCGTGCATAAGTCCACGCATTTATTGTGTCATTTCTACAAGACTAAGTATTAGTTAGCATAGCGTTTTGTAGTTTACAGAGCACTTTCACATACAGAAGGCATACACAAGAAAGCTTATTAACTTCTTTTTTTCCCCCTTTAACCACAGTCTTTCATCAAAGCGTGTGTGACAACTTCTCCCAGTTTCATTCTAAATCATATAGACACAAATACAAAAACATCAATACAGTTCAAAAGTAAGAATCAGAAATGCTCATGCGGGGCTTCCCTGGTGGTGCAGTGGTTGGGAGTCCGCCTGCCGATGCAGGGGACACGGGTTCGTGCCCTGGTCCAGGAGGATCCCACATGCTGCGGAGCATCTGGGCCCCGTGAGCCATGGCCGCTGAGCCTGCGTGTCCGGAGCCTGTGCTCCGTAACGGGAGAGGCCACAACAGTGAGAGGCCCGCGTACCACCAAAAAAAAAAATGCTCATGTTTCACACACCCTGGTAGTGACTCTTTCTGTCCCCTGTCTGGGAGTGGAAAGACCCAAAGGTAACACCACATGTCTCTGCTGAGATTAGGAACAAGTTAGGTTTTTCCCCCTGCATGATCAGGAGGCTTAGAGAGGGTGAGCAGGTCTGAAGATTTGGGGTAGATCAGTGACCCTGACCCACCAAGAGGCCAAAAATGTGCTTTCCTGAAAGGTATCAGCTGGGATTTGTGACCATTAAGATGGTTAAACTGTTTGAGCCACATGTTGTATATTTATCCTCGTAAATGAATACTCAGTCATGACTGATTGTGATCTCCTGGCTAGAGATTTCTATTCATAGGGAGCTCAGAAGAGCTATCCAGGTGATTGTGATATAAAGCCAGGTTTGGGAATCACTGACCCACCGTTTTACAGCAGTGGTTTTTAACCTTGGCTGCATGTTAGAATCATCTAGGACACGTGAAATTTTTTCCATTTTAGGCCTCAGTATTTTTTAAAACTTAGAAGGGGAATGAGCCACTACAGACAAGTAAAACCTGCAGGTCACAAATGTGTGTGATCAAAGGTGGAGGGGAACTCCAATATAAGGATCTGGATGCGCATTGTTCTGTTTCAGCAAAACAGGACAGTAACTACATTGCCTTCCGTGCCTCTGACAACCCTTGGCTGCTGGGACTCTGTGACCTAACTTCCTGTATTTGTATTTTAAGTGAATATACCAAACATTTTATTTATATGAGCAAACCAAGTTCTACGTAACATGCTTTTCTGTTCCTCATTCAACAAAATGACTTTTTACATTTTTGCTTATATTTCATCTCCAGGTCTGGGTTTCCACCAATCTGCACCCAGGTTCAGGACCCCCGATCCTACACAAATCCTGTGAGCCTAGTAGGTTACTAGACAGATCAGTTCCTTCCCCAACTCATAAAAACTTTCCCTCCCAATTAAATTCCAGCCCTCAAAATAAATTACCTCCCACTTTTTTCTACAGGGTTTCTGATAGGAGAGGAGTGACTACCCTTTGTTGTCAGATTTGGCTTAGGTTTTCCTTTTCCTTGGGGTCATCTCCCTTCTTTCTGGGCTGGTCTTGCCAGAAGTAGATGGGAACTCTGAAGCCCCATTTTCTTAAGTTGCCAAGAGCTATCAGTTTTATAGATCTCAGAGTCAGACCTAGTGATGAGCATTAAGGGTAGAGCCAAGAAGTCTGTTTTTACCCTCAAATGAGACCAACAGATGTATGTTACGTGGAGCACAGGGCTGAGAAAGTGAAATCACGTATAGGTGCTTTGGAGGCTCGGTGGGGAGAGATTCTTCATCAGCATGCGTACACACACACCCCTCTCAAACATAATTGGCTGTGAATTCCTCCAGGCTCAGGAAGCTAGTCCTTTTTCTATGCTCTAGATCCCCTCCCTCCCCTAGGTGGTCATCCCTCTCCCACTTCTGTCACTTCTCCCGTTGTGTGCCTAACCTTTCTGGGGTCACAGCCCCTTTGAGAATCTGATGGAGGTTGTGGACCCTCTTCAGGAGAAACTCGGATTGCACCCTCAGTTCTGTGCTTATTTGTGGAGGCATATAAATTCCCTGAGGCCAATCCGTGGAGCCTCCAGGGCCTCAAGTCACACCTGGGGATGCACTACATAATTGCCCTCACATGCTACAAAATGGTGGCTTTTTAAAAAATGAGGTCAGATTACGGAATCTCTGAGGATGTTGCCCAGATACATAACCTTTTCAGTCTTGCTTCTCCTGGCTTCCCTCCCTCAGCAAATGGCATTATCCAGCACCCAGACTGGAAACCCAGGAGGCATTTCTGGCTTCCGATGTATCGTGCGTTGATTACAAAAATATTTATTATGCACTCTCTTTGTGGCAAACATGGTGCTAGGTCCTGGGTTGCCAAAGCAAACAAGGCCTACCATACCCCCTTTTCATGTCTCTCATGGGAAGGATGTCTGGATCCCTCAACATGATTTACTGAGCTCTTCCCAGCCTCATCGCTTCACTTCACGCGCACCTTTACTGCAGCCTGGAGGCACGTGCTTGCTCTTCTCGTGCCTTTGCTCACACTGTCCTCGGTGCCTGTGATACCTCACCACCACACCCCACAGCCCCTGTCTGCTTTGCCTAACATTTGGTTTCTTTTAAGATTTGGCTCAGGCCCATCTCTGGGAAACCTCTGACTGCCCTATGGCCAAGAAGTATATTTAGAAGTATCGAAGAGCATGATATTTGTATCCAGAGTTTTACTTTATGCTTTAAAGTGAAAAAAGTCTGGATTCGAAATTGTGTATATAGTACAGTTCTCACATAATGTTATGTACACTGTATACTATGAGAAAGTATATAGATAAACATGAAGGAAATATAAGAAAATGTTATAAATGGTTGACTTGTTCAGAGCCATACAAATGGTAAATTGCAGAGCCTGGGCTCAAACCCAGGTCCTAGGGATAATGGAATTATGGGTGATTAAAAGTGTTTTTTTAAAGTAATTTCCATATTTTTTATAAGGAACAAAAATTTTATAATCAGGAAAAATAAATTATTTATTGTAACTACAAATTTAGTTTTATTGTATTAACTGTAAACAGTATCTCAATTCTCCATTTTGTAGAATGGGGGATGCACCCTGCTTCTGTCTCCTCCCCTTGTCCACCTCTCTGCCTCTGACAATGTCAAGTCTGATAATTCTTGAATTCTGTTCTGAAACCATAGTCTTTTATGCTTTGTTTATTGATTTGTTCTGAAAATTGAAATAAACAGCATGACTGTTATTATGACTGTGTAAATGTTGTTCACTGCAGACCTAAGTAGTTTATTGTGATTATATTTCCTTTTTGGAGCAGCATTTAATTTTTACCGAAGTTTCTGGTTGTCTTTCTTTTTCCCTTGTACTGGTTGCTTTTAACATATCCTCAGTTATTTTCAAATTCTCTGTCCAATTAGACACTCTTCTGAGTCCCCCTTTCTCCTGTATATATCCCTTCCAGAGACCTCCAGCCTTCTGCTCTAGTCTGTCCTTCATGTTCTTTTTTTTTTTTTAAACTTTTTTTTGGCCATGCCCTGCAGCATGTGGGATGTGGAATCTTAGTTCCCCAACCAGGGATCGAACCCACACCCCCTGCAGTGGAAGCACGGAGTCTTAACCACTGGACCGCCGGGAAAGTCCCTCTCCTTTATGTTCTCTCTGCCTACTGTCCAGTTGTTACACTGGGCTCCATTGCATCCTAAAATCCACATTCTTCCTTTCTTCGTTTACATACTCATTTCACTGCAGCATGTCAAGTCACTTGCCAAGAAAGAGTATGTGGAAGGCAAAATTGTTGGGTGCTTATATATCTAAAACAACTGTCTCTGCCCTCACAGTTGATTGGTAGTTTGACTCTGGAATTCTAGATTGAAAAATTTCCCCCAAAGTTTGTAGGCATTGCTTCCCTGACTTATAACATCCAATGTTGCTAATGAGATGCCTGATTCCAGTCTGATTCTTATTTCTCTGACAATAAATAGAATTTACATTTTTGTGATCTGTTTCCCCACCCCTTTCAAGCTTTTAAAGTCTCCTGTTTATCCTTGATGTACTCAATTCCCTAACGTACTCTGAGATTTTTCAATCTAGCGACTCAGGTACTACTACTCTTGGAAATTTTCTCATGTTATTTATGTGACAGTTCTCCGTTTCCATATTTTTTTTTCTATTTTCACTCTTTCTGGAATTCCTGTCAGTCAAATGTTGGACCTTCTGGATTGATCGTCAACTACTTTCTCTAGTATCTCCATTTCCTTGTGCCATTTTCTGGGAGAGTACCTTGATTATTTTTCAACCTTTCTAGTGAATTTTTTTATTTTTGGCAGTAGTTAATTTCTAAGAGTCTTGTTTTCAGTTTGTTCCTTTTTTGTAGCGTACTTTTCTCATTTTAGAGATACCTCTCAAATCTGAGTATTGTAATTACAAGGATTTTCCGAAAAGTCTCTTCTGTCACATGAATTGTCTCACCATCTTCGTTCGCCTGCTCTGGGTCCTTTTTTCTCTTTATTTTGTTGACTGTCTTTGGAGACTTTCCTCAAATATGTTGTGATTCTTAGTGATACACACACACACAAATACATGGATATATCTGTGTGGTGGGAAGGTGGGTAGTGGGATTGGCTCAGTAAAAGGCTTCCCTCTAGAGTGGTTGGTAATGAGCAAGCTGTTTCCCTGGTGACCTCTAAATGCCAGAATGCAGAGATCTTTTGGCTGGGGTGCTTACATTTTCTTAGCAAAAAATCCTCTGATGTTTTTGTCTGGGGTTTGGATGATGTAAGTGCTTCTCTAGAGTGGGAGAGAGGGGGATCAAATGTTATTACATACCTTCAGTTAATGCCCTTATTTTTAGCTCCACTTCTCCCTCTCACCCCTCGTTGCACCTGGGGTTTCCAAGTCCCAAGTCAGCTGGGGTTTGTCAGGTACTTCAGCTGCATCCTTCCACTATATTGCCCTCAACAAGTGTTTCAAGCTGTCACTCACTCCACCCAACTTTCTCAGTTACCATTTCATCCATTTTCCATTTTCTAGAAATTTGTTCCCCTTGTCCCATCATTGTTATTTATATATTTTAAACCATTTTAATACATTATTGTTTTAGGGGAAGCTGAACGATTTAAAAAAGAATGTTGATATCCTTTGATACAGTAGTACCACTTTTAGAAAGCTATCCTAAAAATGAATATTTTGACAATGGTATATATACTTATCAATGTCCATATTTTACAAAAATGGAAACAACCCAAGTGACTAATAACAGTGGAATGATTAAATTACACTGTGATGGAATATTATGCAACCACTAAAAATCATAATTTAAAGAGTATTTAGTGATATGATAAA